CCTAGGTCAAGGATGCTGGTTGTACACCTCGACCGGCTCGCGCCTTATCATGGAGCTGCTCGAGACGAGCAACCATAAAAAGGGGGAAGATGTAGCGGTTTGAGAGCAGAGCAACGGGGAGAAGAGAAACAGTAGGACACAAAGAAGATGCTGCAAGAACATCCTCCAAAGAAAAGGAACAGGGGAAGCACCGTTAGGCTATTCGGGACGAACAGCCTTAAGGAGGGAGCAGTGTGACATGTTGCACAATGGAGGACCCCTACCTCCCCAGCGGCACGTGGCGGTAACGTAGCGCTCCCTCCACCCCCCTCTGCGGTGATGTAACGCGCAACGCGCGGTGACGTAAGATGGCATGAGATAACAGCATTGCTAGGCTATACGCTACGTCACAGTAGTGACGTGGCGGGCAACCCTAGCAACAGCGACCGGAATAAAAGCCGGCTGAGCAGCAAGCGAGAGTCAGTGTGTTATCAACGAGTTCACAGTTCCCAAGTTACGAGCTACAGACGTGTGTGCGAGAATCAGTGATAGTTCGTGATAACCAGTTATATTTGGAGTGTGTAATTCAGCGAGACTTGTATAGCTCCCACGCTATTAATACGTGAAACTCTGGAAGATAGTGTTAAGAGATTTTGTTGTAGGGTTTGTAAAGTGTGGAAACCCGTAACATTGTGATAATTAATTGTAGCCGTTATTTGTAGGTTGTTGAATAAACCAATTAATGATCTCTACGGCGTATTCAGTAACGCAACACGTTACAATATGTTAACTCACAAAACAAAGCAATCGAGTAATGAAAATCCTCATGCCCTAATTCCGCTTCCCCTTTATGACCAAAAGATAGGTGTATGTTGTGCAGTTACACAAACCGTATAATTGGACTAATTAATATTTTATGAAGGAACTCTTGATCCTGGACGATACATTAATGAAATACTTAATACATTTTTCGTCAATTTGGCACTTGCAGAAGAAAGTATACTGCCTGGTTTGTTTGGGGAACTAAATGGGGAGGATAGAATTATTAGCAAGGGTTTGTTTGCCCCCTGGATCTCCCGATGTAAACCCCTGTGATTTCTATTTGTGGGGAAAACTTTAAAGTGTTACGTATGCCAACAATCCACAAGACCTGGAGGCTCTAAAACAGAAACATTCAGCAACGTGAATTGCAACAAGTTTCCCCAAATCTGTTTAAAAGAATTCAGGCATATCTCACAGCAAAAGGCAGACATTTTGAACATCTATGATGGTGGGTACAATAATATTAATTACTATATATGATTAATAATTAACAACAGAAGTAAACAGTGTACCTGTAGCAGCCATGCAGCAGCATTTTTCTTAGCAAGTGACCCATCGCTTTCACAGGAAGTTGCCGATGGTAAAATCAATGTCCCATCAGCCTATGCTCTAACATGGTGTATTATCTATCTTCACTATCTTATATTTGACTATCCCAGCCAACATTAGGGGCATTCCAAACCAACGGTTTAATGAGTGGTGATTATGACATGTCTCTGTCCTCAAGGCTAAGTGTAAGCCTCAGTGAAAGATGGACAGTGGGGTTCACTTCACAACTGATAACATAGCATAGTTACATTTCTAAACAGACTCGGAGACTACATTTGACTTAGCTTCAGTATGCGAGGGCAGTCAGCTTTCAGTATCAGTCCATTTCTCCCTCAGGCTTCTTCTAAGCTTGTCTGTAGCACAATCTGTGGCTATATCCAGTTGACGCACAAGCTTCTCTGCTTGTAACTTTGACAGGGTTGAATCATTGACAGTGGTATGATGTACTGACATTAACCTTTAAGAGACGGCCATTTAAATTCCGGTAGTGGTAGCAGGACGGAGTTAATTTAAATGCCCGCCACTGTAGAGTAATAAAAATTGTAATCATGTTACTCAGAATGCTGTGATTTCTACAATTTTTGTGATAAACGAGTGAAATAAACGCTGCTTTTTTCTAGAAAGAGTATAGAATCAGTTATTGCAATTTACCGATTTTAAAATCTCTTAAAATTTTTACACTGATGCCAAAAAAAAATCCAACAGAATAGGTGTTTTCCCTCACCTGAGGATGGAAACGGATCCAGTTTCCGAAATGTCGTGTTTTTCTTAGTTATCTTAAAACCAGGACGATGGATAAAGTCCAAAAACCCAATATCTCTAGGTAAAGTCATTGTCAAACAATATATCCTCAGAAAACACAAAAAGTTCATCAAGATTTATGAAATATGTGACACAAGTGGTTGCACTTATGACATGAGCCTCTATTTAAGGAAAGAAAGAAAATGCAAATAACAGGACATGGCCATAAGTTATACATGGAAATCTGTTTGATGACCTGACAATAAGTAAAAAAAAATTATGGAATTCTTAGACCAAACAGGAAAGGAATGCCACGTGGCATAGGCCTTAAGATGCCAAAATTGAAACAGGGAGACATTGGAGCCAAAACAAGAGATGACTTGACATCAATGATTTTGGAGAACAAAAGGGAAGTGTATATGTTGACCAACATGCACAGTCCACCTGCAGAAGGCATCTTGTGCAGTGAACATGAGAACACTGTGATTCCTTCCATTCCTGAAGACTGCAGTGGGAACATGAGTTTTATGCACAAGGTACCATTGTGAAGAGCCATAGGGAATTGCAGCTGGTATTAGTTAGAAAAATACTGGTCTCAGTAGGTAGACCAGCATGTGCTAAAAATGAATTTGACTGATGCTGTCAACATGTTTGTGGTGCTGTGGGAGTGTGAGTGTGAAGTGGGTCTGTTTCTGTAACTACCACACAATGGCATAATTATGAAACCGGTAAGATGTATAAATTCTGCACTACTGGAAAATTATTTTTCTGTTATTATTTACCCATAAGCCCCTCCACTGCTTCTGTTGTATGGATGACACTTTTATCATCTGGCTCATGGACCAAACAGCCTGAGGAACTTCTTCCACCAGGACATTCAGTTCACTGTGTAAGTGGAAAGAGGTGGTCACCTTCCATTCATGGATGTAGATACATAGAGGAGATCTGATGGCACTCTGGGTCATAAGGTGTACCATAAACCTACCCATACGAACCTCTACTTAAACTCAGGTTGTTGCCACTGCCCACGCAACAAGCTTGCCAGACTTCCACACACACGACTAGAGCTCTTCATGTGGAGATGGTGTTTCTGATAGAAATTTTCAAGCAGTACAGTAATAGTGCACATAGAAGATACCGTCAGTTATAACTCACATCACCATTCATCCCTACACAGGTTTGGTGATGAAAGGAAATATTGCTCTGCTCTGTTTGTGCTACTATGAAGCCATAGTAAGCATACATGGCAGTAGAGGAGATAGTAAATTATAGCTGAAAATCAATTATTTCCCCCTAATTTCAAATTGAAAGTCTCTAAAACAACAGCAACATGCCAATTTATGCTAATTTTGAATGTATAGTTTGGTAGAAAGCAAATGTATGTACTGTAGGAAAATTTAACATCTTATGGAAGCTTTGGCAGATCTGAAAAAAAAGAAAATCATGTAGAATCAAGAAAAACATAGATTCAAGGAATGTAAAATCCTGGTTTGACTGTTTCATGTAGCTAGTTCATAAAATCTTAGTTTGAGTCAGTTTGTGTAACAGAAGAGACTAGAGAGGACAAATGTGAACTGAGTGGGGTAGTAGAGTGCATAATACATCTGGCTTGGTTGTCATAGGCTTGTAATTTGTTCCCGTCCAGAGATTGGGTAGCCTGAGGTGGTTTACATGAGTCACTCCAGGAAAATGTCATGTTGTTACTTTAACAGTTTAATTGCCAAGCCTTGCAATAGAACTACTACTAAAAATGCTAATGTTAGTGGTTGTAAATGCAGATGCACAGAGAAACGTACCAACTTTCCTCAGATGACCTTCAAATAGCAAGAGGAATATATCAAATGAAAAGTCGTTCTTTCTTCTATCTGTATGTTACACCTGATGTCATCTGTTGAAAGGAATGCTGTACTAATTGGTCAATAATGGGCTCAGGTACCCCCAGCCTCTCAGATCAATTCTTGGCAGGGATCATCTAGGCCATAACTGCTTCCTTTGCTTTTCATCCTCATCATTAGCTCATTTAATTTCACTTTGGTGTGAAAGCAGTAGAAAGACTGGTTTCAGAACACCAACAGTACCTTCTTCATGATCTGCTCTTCACTATGTGTGTGGAAAAAAATATTTTTGTATAGATAAAAATACAGTAGAACTTGGTTATAACGTCATCAAAGGGACCTANTTCTTCACTATGTGTGGGAAAAAATATTTTTGTATAGATAAAAATAGTTGTGTGTACTTTAATATTGTACATCATCTTAAAACTTAAGGTTGTCTGTTGCCAGAAGGTTGTGGTTGTTTGAGATCTTCACAATGTTTGAAATTTACTCATTTCTTTGTTATTTATTTCTATGCATATTCCACATNGTACTTTAATATTGTACATCATCTTAAAAGTTAAGGTTGTGGATGTTTGAGATCTTCACAATGTTTTAAATTTACTCATTTCTTTGTTATTTATTTCTATGCATATTCCACATGCATATGCTGTTCAGAAAGTTTTGGAACTATCTTTTTATATTCTTTTCGGACATGCATCAAACTGAGAGAGCCTTATGACCTTCAAAGTACTCCATCCTGCACTGATGTACCACTCCTAACGCCATTGCCACCTATGGAAACAGCCCTGGTACGCCTTCTCGGGATCGCATGTAGCTCTGTCTGTAAATTTCCGTAATCTCTTGAATTGTCTGAAATTGTCATCCTTTCAAAGTGGATTTCAGTTTGTAAAATAAGAAAAAGTCTGCAGGAGCCAGGTCAGGTGAGTGGGAAGACTGAGGAATCACAGTTGTGTTTGTGTTAGCCAAAGCAATGCATGAGCTGCACATTGTCATGATGTATTTTTATTCTTTTACTTTTGTTTCAGAAGAATATGTTCCAGCAATTTATTTTATTCCTGTCTTGTATTACAGACGCTTAGTGGGATGGCAAAGCTCATGAAGGAATGCTGGCATCATAACCCAAATGTTCGCCTACCAGCGCTTCGTATCAAGAAAACCCTGGTGAAACTTGCATCTTCCGATATACACGTGCATCTTGATCTCGATATTTGATCATGCCCCAACTTCTTGTCACATAACCACTTGTCTGGCTACCGTTTCTTAAACAGGGTGGTCACATTTATTAGAACATCTCTAGACTGGCTTCTTGAAAATCATGTGCCTGAATCATAATGTGAGAAAAGACACCCTCTTAGATGTGTGCAAGACCTAAAGCCTAGTCACCGGGAAGTGATTGGTGGAGATAAAATTTTTATGTTAAAAGAACAGCTATTTCCATTGAGAGTTGTGCAGACTTGGATCATTGAAATGTCTGTTTATTTTTTGTGAACTCAGATTATGAGCTATGCTGGTGACTGGTCTCAGGATTATTTGTATGTTGTGTTAAGTAATGCCTGTCATATCAATCAGCTGAACCTTGTTAGATGTATAGAAGTGTGAGTGACAGAAGATCTTGTATTAGTGTTGTAAGAATGAATTACTGTGGAGTGTAAACTAAAGAAACAGTGGCTTTGCTGCTGTTTCACTTGTGTTTGTTTGTTTCATCACCATTAACACATTGATTTAGCAGTACATTATAGTTGTCACATGACATGTCTATGGCATATACTGGTTTCTTGGTGTTACAGGTACTGTCCAAATGCAGTGATAATCATTTAATTTTATCACCCAGTTTTAATACTTCCATAACTTAGCATTTCTAGTTTACTAAATTCCCAAATATATGTGTTCTTGCAGCATGTTTAAGCATAAGATATCACAACTAATGCTAATGGCAGTGTGAAGGAAGTTTCAGTTGAAGAAAGTCGTCTTCTGGGTTTAGGCGCCGTGTATTCTTCGTTTTGGCTGACGTTTTGGAGGAACGTATCGCCTCCATCTTCAGAGCAGGTGAATGGCTTGGAATGCAGAGAGTGGTAGCTGTTAGAAGTTTGTTAGAAATTTCAGTTAGTTAACAGTTTTGAAAACTTCCAGGAATTTTTAATAGCAGAAATATTTTCTTTCAGAGTTGTTACTGAATAATGCCCATAACATATGTAATGTACTAACAGTAAAAGCTGACTGCAATGAATCTGGGTTTATCTGATCTGAATTATTCTCCAGTAATGTCTTAACACTTTGCGGACCGCGCACCCTTTAAAAGGATTTTCGCTTTTAAACATGGCTGACCGTTCGCCTGTTAACTGGTTTTTAGAACACGATAAGTTGCAACACACTATACATCTCTCTGGCGTCACCCAAATGAATGACTACTGTGTAATATTACTCCGGAATGTTTGCGTAGTAGGTAGTAACTTGACCTCGCTGTTTTGGTTCCCCCTCCAAAGGAAAATAATCTTTGACCCTTCAAGCTGTTAGGTACCAGGCAGGATGTTAGTGCAATATGAATCAAGGACAGAAGCGGTTGAAGACGAAGCGATATCTCGGAGAAAAAATATCTTACTCATTCTCAGATGAGCTATTTGATGTGCCTTGTGAGAGGAGTAGTGAAACTGAGACAGTGGCAGTGACAGGGGTCAACAAACAAGTGTAGCCATAGACAATAAAAGTGAAAGTAGCTCCGAGGAAAGTGCAGGTAGTAAAATTGCGGGTACAGCCACATGGGGAAAAGTAGACAAAACGCCTACTTTGGGACAGTTTACTGGAAATC